TTCTCCCCACATATCTATCTTTTTAAGTTTTAATTTTTTTTAAAGACAATTTGAAATATGTTTTTAAACCTTGATATTTAACGTTTATTTTAATAATAAATGCATTTCATTCTCATAATGGCACTAGGTATATTGCATTGGAATTGGTTTAAAATTGATGTTATGTGGAAATTAGTATATTGATTGATTTGTTATCGCATTGAGTTATGGAATTAAGTTGATTTGATTTGAATATATATTGAACTTATTATTGCCTTGAATTGATTGCCATATTACTTTAATTGTCTTGATCTTTTTGGTATGACAAAAATGGGGAGAAGTAATCAAATGAAAAATTCTTGTTGAAACAAGGTTTGCAATAAAGGGTCATTTGATGACTTGATCACTTGTTATAGGAGGAGTAATTCTAAATGGATATATCGATATTGCCTTATTTATTAATGATCTTGATATTGATAGTTATATTCTTGTTCTTAGCTTGTTTTAAATTTTTTTTTTGCTTAAATTCAGGGAGAACCTACTTTTCAAATAGAAAAAAAATTTAAAACAAAATTTTCACTTAGTTTTGTCATATTAAAAAGGGGGAGATTGTTAACCTTAAATTAATAAAAGGTTTTGACTTGACGAAACAAAAATTTACCTAACTTGAATCAAATTTATCTTATCTCAAATTGAACATTTTTTTAGCTTTCTATCTTGCCAAAAATTATTTTTAAACTAAAGCAAAACATATTCTAGAAATAAAAATGAACTTTTGGACAATTTGGGATAGAAGGGATCGATCCCCTTACATGACCTGATCGATCCTCTGGCTAAAGATCAATCAATTTTTCTTCTAGTAGCTTATTTCGTGCAAGTTTTTCAAAAATCAATCAATCCCCTCTCTGTAGGGACTGATTGGTTAGGTTTTCTAAATGACCGATCGATCTTTTCTTTAAAAAGATTGATCCATTTTTTATCTAGAAGCAAAACAAGCTTTAAAATTACAGAAGGGATAAATCCTCTACATAAGGGATCGATCAGGTTCCTTATTTGATCGATCGGGGTACTTTGATGATGCATAAAATTGGTTTGATTTTCAACTAACCCAATAGATCCCCTATATGAGGGGATTAATCCTCTAGTGCCCTGAAAACCCTAATGGTTATTATTTTGTCTGAAATTTTACAAGTTTCAAGCATTAAATGCAAGTAATGGCTATCTTCATCTTTCAACATATAAATAAAGGTTTCCCACTGTATTTGAAGAGTATAAAAAGCTAAGAAAACTCATTCTTTCTATCTATCATCTTCTTCAAGCATTAAAGAACATTTTAGAAAAAGAAAAGTGCAAAAATTTCATCTTGTATCTATTTTTCTCTTAATATTCTTTCTAATCTTGATGTGCACTTCAAATTAGCAAACATCCAACCTTATAGAGGTTCTTTGAGTTTGCAAAACATTTTAAAAATTTGTATTATGAGACTATAAGCTTAAGGGAAAGGATAACCCTTAAGAGTTTATGTTGTTGATTGTATAGAGCTTTAAAGAGCTAGGTTGTAACTTTTAACACATAGTGGATCAAACTTCTTGGTAAATGAGGTTAAGGAAGATGACGTAGGTTCCTAAAAGAAAGGTCAAATCTCTATAAATTTGAGTGTTTGATCTTTTATCTCTATTTCTTGTTTTTAAGATTATTAGTTCTCATATTTATTGTATTTATTTGATTAAAAAATTGATTTGTGAATTTTGTGCTTATTGAATATTGAATTTACAAAAAATTATTATTAACCAATTCATTTTTTTTTGCTTTTAATTCAAGTCTTTGAACTAATATATGCTATTCTTGGAATGCTACCTAGGACTACCCTACCATGAAGTACAAGTTTTTTATCTAGCATTTTTTAAAAGTGAGACCCATACTTCTCTGTTTTTGTTGGGGCTTGCTTTTGTGTTTTATTTTTCGAGTAGCGTTTTCAAATTTTTTATCGTTTTAATGTATTTTAATTTTTTTATTTCAATGGAATTCATTATTTTTTAGAATCCCACAATTCTATTATATTTCTTGTGATATTTATTTTTTTTATTTTCGATGGCACATTTCTTTTCTTATTTTTTTTAAATGTTTCATATATTGTCTTAATTTTTTTTATTAGATCCACTTTATCCTAATTTTTTTTAAAAAAAATTAATTTAACTTTTTACATTTTTGTTAGACCCTATTGATACAATGGTATACCACTTTTTTTTTTTTCAGTTTTAAAATTTTTCTATTTTTTCCTTATATATTTAATACATCATTTTTTAGATTTTATTTTTTTGCTTGACTCACTTGATATCAAAGTTATATTACGTACCAAGTAATTCATTCTTTTTTTGCTTTTTATTTTTTTTTCTATTTACAAATTTTCTCTTTTTTATTAATAAATATTTTAACATATTTTTCATTTTATAAATGTTGGGACCATTTGATATTATTATTATTAAAAATATATATTTTTTAGTTTTTTTTTCTTTTATATTTGATATTTAAAAAAAACAATATTAATTGAGATGTTAATGTCACATCTGAATTTTATTTGTTTTATTTTTTCTTATTTTAGCCTTTTTTAAATTCATAATATAAAGTTTTCAAAAATAAAATAATTATTCCTGATGTAATGTTCGCTTACTCAACTTTCTTTTTATTTTGCCTTCTCGTCATTTTTTTTATTTTTCTTAAGTTTTTCTCTTCCGTTTTTTCTTTTTATATTTAATAAATATTTTTATATTTATATTTTTTATGAGTAGGACCAATTTTATATTAATAATAAAGATAGCTTTTTGTATCTTTTTGTAATTAGAAAATTTTGTACGCAGGTGTAAACTCAGCATCTAGATTTGGTCTTTTTAATATTTTATAGTATAAGAAAAATATTATTTTTAATCAATAATATCAAATTAGCCCTTTGATAAAAATCATAATATAAACTAAAAAAATATTAAATATAAAAAAGTAAATTAAAATAAAAAAATATAAATCTATAATATAAATTTTTAAGGAAAGTTCAATGTTATTAATATCATGTGACAACTCAACTTTTTCCTTTTCATTATTACTATTACTATTATTTTATTTTTGGTAATTTTTTAATTTTTTTATTTAGATTATTTTTTAAAAAATAACTTATGTGTACACTTAACAACCTATTTTGCTTTTTTTATATTTTAGGTTTTTTTAATCAAATAATTGACAACAATGACAATCGATAAATTAATTTTTAAAAATAAATTTTAAGAGAGATATGTATGATAAAATAACTCACATTCGATTAATGTCGATTCATCTGAATCTGATAGATGCATTTTTTTTTATTTGAGATCAAATCGATGTTCTTTCATGAAAAGTTAATGTCAAGTCAAATACGGATTTATGATGTCCTGTATTATCTTGCCCATATATGTTAATTTATATTTTAAATTATTTATTTAATTTTATATTTGTATTTATATATTATATTAATAAAGTTATTATTTAGCACCTTAATTTAATAAAAAAAGCTATATTTATGTATAATTAAGATGTAATCCATCAATCCATTCATCCATTGTATAAATTTGATTTATTTTGATTTTTGTTTGACTCTTATTTGAAGTCTTAATGTATCATCTTATGTTTTTTTCCTTTTTTTTCTTTTAACTTTTTATAATTTTTTTATTAAATAAATTTTGTGAGAAAATTAATATAGTTGCCCATGTGACCTCGTAGTTTGTTTTTTACTTTCAATTTTTTATCTAATAAATTTTATAACAAAAAGAGCCAATTCATAATAATAGTAAAATAATTTATATTCGATAAATCTTTATTCAATTTGGACGTCTATATAATAACCTCAAAGGGTTTTCTTTTTCTTTTTTTCCTTTTTAAATTTTTTAACATTCATTTTTTATTTTTCCTTTTTCCTTTTTTGTCTTTTTAATAAAAGTAATTTTGTTAAAAAAAAAAAATTAGGGATGTATCCATGTGGTATCCCATTTTAGTTTTTATCCCATTTTAGTTTATTTAACTTTCATATTTTATATTTTTTAATAAAATAAATTCTGCAACTCAAAATGTCAATTAATTTTATATTTTACGAGTTTTGATTCATCTTAATCTCATAAATGGATAATTTTTAAAATCAAGATTGAATTAAGAGAGATTAAGTTTTTTAAAAAAAGATGAGATCATGTTGGAAATATGTTTATGGTTTTTTGTTCTAACCCATTTCAAAGTATATATACAAATATATTTTTTATTATTTATTTAATTCTATACATATTATGTCTTATATTAATAAAGTAATTATTTTTAATTTAATTTATGTAATTTTTATTTTAAACTCAATACGAAATTTCAATGTAGCACCATTTATTTACTCATTTTTACTTTTTTTTTTTTTACTTTTTGCATTTACTCTTTTCTCACTTTTTACATTTTTTATTTTTTAGATTAATTTTATGGAAAAAATTAAATCAATTAAGATATACATATTTTATCTTGTTTGTTTTTCTTTCCTTTTATTTTTTTAAATTTGATAAATTTTGCAACAAAAAACAATAAATAGATATGACAAAAAAAATTTACTGCGATTAAATCAAATAATTCACGACATTATAATGATATAAAAAAATATAAAAAAGTGACATATTAGAATTTTAGTAAAAAATATATATGAGTTTAAGATAAATAAAAAAGATATATTTTATATTTTTTGTGTTAACACGAATAGTACCATATAATTTTTATATAAAATATAATATAAATATATAAATTTTTATTTTTTTATATAACATGAACATAAAAATCATCAGATTTATCTACATCAATATGCGATCATTATATATATATATATATATATATATATATATATTGAGATGGAGTATACTCCATTGCATAGTAGACTAATAAACGTTGCATTGACTTGTCTTCGTGGCGTCGGTATAAATGTAGTCGGTATAAATGTAGGCCCATTTCATCCAAACTAGTGCCTCTGTCTCTGGTCCATGGAGAAGGCTATATGTTATCCCTATATGCTTATACGGAGATTGAGATATTTTCTAGTTTTCTATTATTTAGTAATTGCAGACAACAACTGCTTAGGACAGCCATGGATGCTTCCATAAAGCTTTATATTGGTTTCTTTCTCTTACAGATGTTCTTCTTACCTCCCTCCATTTCATCCAAGCTGCTAACTCGTAAACAAAGCTTGGGTAATCCGTCTGGATTTCCTTCCAACTTTCTCCTCGGAACAGCCTCTTCTGCTTACCAGGTTTGCTTCAACCATCTTTAATCTGCTAATACTCATTAACTATATAACCAATGAACCTTAGGAAAAAGAAACCATAATAGACATATAATGCTGAAATGTTTCTTGTTCTTTAATTTTGGGTTTGCAGTATGAAGGAGGTTACATGAGTGATGGTAAAGGTTTGAACAATTGGGATGTCTATTCCCACAAACCAGGTTATTTAATTCCACCTCTCCTACGTTTAGCAGCAGCGTTCATGGTCTCTGATCATTACAAAAAAAAAAGGAAAAAACTTTATAATTTGCAAAAGGTCTTTGACTATATAGAAATTGACCCTGAATTTTATATTTTTATTAGTTATAATTTCCATTTCTACAACAAAGAGATGATATAATTGATATTGCAGGAAACATAATCGTTGATGGAAGCAATGGAGACGTAGCTGTGGACCATTATCATCAGTATTTGGTATGTACGCCAAGCTACTTCCACTTGCATATTTAATTTAGTCCTAACTTTTTCATTTTTTATTTTTATTATTTATTATGCATGTTTTAATCATTTAGAATGTTATTATTTGTACCTCAACAATTATTCAATACACCTCTTATTTTTAATACTTTATTTTTTACTCAATACACATTATACCTAAAATATAAATTTATAAAAAAAACTCAAACATCCCATCTCCTTTTCTCTTATGCCTTATCTCGTCTCTCTCTCTTTTTCTAATGGAAAACTTAAAAGATTTTAAGCCCAATTAAATCGAATTCAAAAATTTTTTTATCAATTTGAAGTTAAAAATATAAAATTAAAGGTAAATTATTTATTGCTTTTGTTTGATTCGTGTTTAATTTCATAAAATTTTATATTAAAATATTTAGATGAGATTCGAAATTTTAAAGAATAAATTTTTTGAAAATTTTAAAAGTTTTTGAAAATAAATATTTAGGAGCCTTTAAGAGTGTCCGAAAATAAATTTTCAGAAAAAACGTAAAAAATAAAAAAATTAACTATTAAATATTTAAATAATTTTATTAAAACTTAAAAAATTGAAATTATCGATAAGAAGGCGGGGTAAAAATATAAATGCTCAATTATTTAATCCCAAAAAAATTTATACTTATGGGTCAATACTCCAGAAACCCCCCCCCCCCCCTCTCCCCAACCAAATCATTTGATTTTGACCAATTAAAAACAGCATTATTTACCTTTTTGCAATTTAAATAATAACTGATGATAGTAGCACTGTGGTTAGCACATCGGCTTGATTGGATATAACTCGTTTAAAATATGCAAACAGGTTGTGTTAGGTGAGACACTGACCTTTCGGCTTATTACCTGGAATGTAATAGATTCCAGTTTGTGGTATGGAAATGAGAACAGGGTATATTTAGCCAATTTAAGTTTAGTTGATACGCCATTTCAGGTCGTTGCCTTTTGTTTGATTTTGTTTGATTATAAGTGATAATTATAAATTTAATTAAGACATTGAACAAGGGATGAAGTGAATTTTCTTGTAAAAGATGTAATGGTTTTTCTTTTTCTCTAAAATTCCAAGTTGGCTTTTAAAATTAGGTCATAAAAAATAAATGGGTTTTTTATTACGTTCTAAAAATGGATTTTTTAGGTTTAAAAGTATGTTAAAATAATAAAAAAATCTTGAACTTTATAATTTTATTTAAATAAATTTTATATTTTTATTACATTTAAATAAATTTTTAATTTTTAATTTGTATTCAAATAAATTTTTAAATTTTTAATTTGTAGTCAAATAAGTTTTTAACACAAATTATTTTTTCATTTGAAATAAAAGTTTATTTACATAAAGATATATTTGAATATCATAAAAATATAAAATTTTATTTAAAAAAATATAAAAATTTTAAAATCTCTTTTAATAGAAAAAACTAATTTGGCAGTTCCCCCCCCCCCCCCCCCCCAAAAAAAAAAGGGGGTTTTTGTTATGCTTTAAAAGCGTTGTTTGATTTTAAATGTTTTTTACACTACTCTATTTGTGCATCTTTTATCTTATCCTCTTGTTTTTCAGTCTTCTCTTTCGTTTTTCTTTTTTTTTTTCCAAAAATTTCAAAATATGTGCCTTTGTTGTTCTATCTTTAATTATCCCATTTTTTAAGAAAAAAAATATGATAAAGGTATGTATGCCCAATAATCTTTCTTCCTAAAAGGTAAGAATATAAGCAAATAGAATATTAACAAAATAACATATGTTCATAATTTATTCGTTTATTTTTAGATTTATTTAGACTTGATTCATGTTCAGTAAAACAATTACTTTATTCATTTGAGTTCGGTTCATTTAAATAATAGGATGTTCGTATTCGATTTATGTTCGGCTTGATTAAGTTAAATGAATTCATTTGTAAATATTAAAAGAACATGCTCACAAATATATATCATTTATCATTTATATATAAAAGTGTGAACTTTAAAAATATTAAAAGTGAATGACATAAATATCTTTATAAATTTTAAGAAATAACAAATTTACTTTTAAATTTCTAGCATTTTTATTTATTTAATAAAAATTATTTATCATTAAATATATAGCTTTTATTAGTTAGTTATTTAAATTTAAATCTAAAAGTAATAAAAATAAATATGCCTTTATAAATTTTAAAAAATAAAAAATTTATCTTTCAATTTTTAGCATTTATTTATTTATTTAATAAAGATTATTTGTCATTAAATATATAGTTTTTTACTTGTTATTTTTTTAAATTTAAATCAATTAAAAATTTACAAATAAAATTTATATCAAATTAAACTACACTAAAATTTATTTGTGGGATATGGTGGATGTATTTTTGAAAATTAACCCAAATTTACTTTTTATCTTTTTTTTTTTTTAGATTTTTGTTGTTCAATTTCATAAGTAATAATTCAATCAAATTGATATAAAACACATTTGTCATCCTATGGACTGTGATATACTATAAGTCCGCGATATTGAACAAAACATAGACAAAATCTTTCTCCTATTGCTCAATTACTAATTGTTTTAGTCTAAATTATTAGATCATAACGAGCATGCCTTTAAAACATTTAACTTTATTTTAAGTAAACCATATAATTTTTTATTTTCAAGATACAATTTAATTTATTCCTTATCTTCTTTAGTGGTACATATTATGAATCCTTAAATATATTTATATTTTTTATTTATTTAATTTAGATTAATTAAAATTAAAGTTCATACAAAATAATAAATTAAATTATCAAAAAATGATTAAGAAATAATAATTCACGCATTGTGTTAAGTTTGTATGTTTGATTTTTTTTATAATAAATATTCTTTTATATGTTTAATGATTGCAATTGTTGATTTCATTTGCTACAATATTTCTAATCACTATATACAATCACGCTTTAACATTACAATGTGAAGAATAATCTAATAATATATTGAACAACACCATATATAAAAAATAATGCAAAAGACTTATTTGATTTGCGAAAGCAACACTGATTTGATTCACTGGTCAAGGGCAATATCACTCATCCAAAAATTGCATTATCCACAGCGTAAGCCCTTAAACACTGAATCATAAGATTCCTCAGAGAGTTTCCTTCTCTATGCGAATCTCTCTATTTTTCTCTCTTATTCTCTATGTGACTCATTACATAGTTCCATATGAATGAGACTTATCTCATTCTTGATTTGGATGAACATATTTATCCTTTTTGTTTTTATCATGGCCGAACACCATGTCTTATTGAGAAAAAAAAAGACCGTGGCATATTCATGTCTCAAGAACCTTTTTTTTTTTTCATGTTTTTCTAATATGAATGGTTTCCATTTTTCATGAATGAGAGAAGTGCTTTAGGTTTTTGTCCATTTTATTTCAAAGACAATAATCACTTAAGGTAGTTGTTTTGTTTTAAATCAAAACCCATTCATAACTACCTCATAACTGCCCTTTGGTAGTTATTTATCATATAGGATTTTGCTCACCTATTATGGGTGGCAATTTCCTACATCTGCCACTTGCATAGAGTGGCTAACAAACTCTCATGGTTAAGAGAACTTTTTTTACTCTTTGCAATAGGTTTATACAAGGAAATAAGCCATGCGACTAGCATACTTCGAGAACTTATTTGCTTTATGACTATTAAGTGTATATAGCAGCTTAAAATTACATCTAGTTACTTATACAATTGTTAGGTATATATAATAACTCTCAAGTACAGGTAGAGCAAGTATATAGCACTATAGATCCATTCAATCACATTTCAAGTTCTTCACAATATTTTTTTTATCATATTGCATGATATACTAATGTATTCACAATTATATTCAGTGTCTCAAATATAATTGGTCGACTTATGAATGCAATTAAATGTGACACTAAAATGATCTTCCCTTATTCTATAATCTCTTTATTTCAATTCAATTGTTATCTAGATATGTCTCTTTCAATCGAATCATCCATTACAATTGGCAATAATCCAATATAGCTAACATTGAACTGAAATTTTAAAAAATAGTCGAAAGCCCTAAGGGTACTAAATATGAGATCTTATGATCTCAAGGGTCTCACACAACAACAAGTAGAGATCTATTCTTCTGTTACCCTTATTAGTCGAATAATGTACATGTGGTATAAAACAGTTGCTGCGGTACTTTTCTTTTTTAAGGAACATATGTTTTTACCATTAAATATCAATACTATACAGGTGATAGTTCAAATACTTTCATTATCTAACTTAAGTCCATAATTTTATTTGATTTCACATAATCAATCGAACTTTCACCTGGAATTTAAGACAAACAAGTGAACTGTGGGATTATTCACTTTTAGTCGTAAATTTCAATATCAACTGACTTTATCTTGATCCTTTATCAAGATGATTCCATTTTAAGTTTGGGCTTTCAATCTATGACTTAAAACTAATTTCCTCTCATGGTGCCAAACCATTAAGGTGATTACCTGTGAGATAAGGCAAATAATTTGTTTGACATATCGTACAAATCATATCGTATTTGTACATATACATATACATGTGTATATTTTACAAAACAAAGCACTAAACTTTAACCACATTAATCGCATTCAATATAAATCACAACTCAAATGGAAAAAAATCGTAAGTTGTTCACATGGAACATTTTAATCGACACATTCTTATCTACGCAACTCTAAAGGTTTTATATGGCTATGAAACATATCTTATGCATGAGCTTAGTTAATGGATCTATAATTGTCTTACGCATAGAAATGTACTTATTGACTTTATTTTATACAACCATGTCTCTCACAAAATTATATTTGGTATCTTTTTGTTTGGTCTTTGAAATTCGTTTGTGAATATAATTGCCACTCAACTATTGTAATTCACTAACATTAAGTTAAACTTATCTTTTTCAATTCTCAAAATATTAAAAAATCTTATAAGCCAAACAACCTCTTGTATTGCCACTGAAAATGCTATAAATTCAGCTTTCA